TCACAATAAATTGAGTACCATTGATATATTGATTGGGTAAAGAAACTTTTATATTGTTAATATTCAGCACAATCAATGTACATGTAATAATATTTGTAATGATATTTAATTATTTATATCCGTAGACCCTATTTCTAAAATTGTTTGAAGTACGCAGTAATTAACTAAACGTTTTGAATGATTTCACATATTCTTTAAGTGGATGATTTTTGAAATTTGATCTTGTAGAAGGTGATCGTTAAAGAGGCTCTTTAGTCTCTTAATACTTTATTTTTTATTAGAATTTCCAGTCTTTTAGAGTATTTGTACTGGGGAGAGATTAGAAGTTTCAAATATTAAATTCGGAGATTTTGGACTTTTTTATTAGAAAGTGGGGTGCATCATGATGTTGGAAGTACTATACGAAAGTATGGGAGCTGTTGCAAAGTTGCATTGCTGTCTTTGACTTTCTAAAAGACTTGGTACAAATATGCTTTGTATTACTCATGGTCGAGTGGCGGTGCTCGACGGACGGTGGTGGTGTCCGATTGCGGTGGTCGATGGTGGTCACTATAGAACGGTGTAACTGTAAATGGTTGGAGTGAGTAATATAATCACAATTAATTTGGTAGAATAATTGTAACTGATCGGATCGAGTAACAGTAAATAATCGAGTCGGGTCATCGTAACTGATTAGATCAAGTAATTGTAGCTAGTCGGGTACAACATGTGTAACTATAATAACTGGGCAGGGCCGATCGTAAGAGTTTTTTGGTCTGAGTCGAACTGTAAAAAAAGGCCCTCAAGAATTTTTGGGAAGGAAAGTTCATGTTCGGAATTCCGGAGAGGAACTGCCATCCGGACGGCGGCGTTTGGGCGCCTTCCCGGTGGAATTCTTTGATGAATTTTTTATTTCATGTTTTTCATCAAGTCTAGTTTATCCACAAAAAATGTCAGCTAAAAATTCGATCGGGAAGGCCGTCAAATGGTTTTTTAAAGTTAACTGGGCCAAAATATACAAATAAAACGCAGTTAACTTCCAAAAATTATTTGATGGTCTTCCCGGTTGAATTTTAAGCTGAATTTGTTTGTGGATAAACTAGACTTCATAGGGAACATGACATAAAAATTTCATCAAAAAAATTCACAGAAAAGGCGGCCACACGCGGTATTTCGTGTCCGGAATTCCGGACATGAACTTTCGTCTATATAAAGGTAACTAATAAATTTTTGGGGTCCTAATTTTTTCCCAAAATTTGTGGGCCTGAGGCAGTTGCCTCTTTGCCTCACGTAGAGGTTCGGCCCTGTAACTGGGTAAAAGAATGGTAAATAACCAGACCAAGTAACACTAGAGATGTTTTCTTTTGGATTGTAATTTCATGGTCTGGTATGATCTGATCTAGACCGGTAAATGTCTGGTCTTTACGTATTTTATAACTGTCAAAGTTTGATCTGGTCTGTTCTTTTTCACTTTGGTTTGATCTATTTAAATCTGGTCTGGTCTGGTCTGATCTTTTTATGTTTGGTCTCATCTTATCTATTTAAATTTGGACTGGTTGATCTGATCTATTTTAATTTGATCTGGTCTAGTCTGATCTGACTTGATTTCATCTAATGTGATGTGTCATTGTGTACAATCCTAAGTCCCTGATCCCTGCCGACAACCGACCACTTGAGCAAAAGTGGGCAACTGGCCTCCTACATATGGACACAACAAACCAAAACTTCTATTCGAGCTAACTCAACTTGCTTATTAATTCCTCTATTCCCTAAAATATACTCCCTCCGTTTTGAAAAGGTTTACCAAATTGACTTTTCTTGATCAATGACAATCAACTTTGACCAATGATATATTTTAATACGAAATTATTTAGAATATGAAAATTATATCAAAATATTTCTCATTGAAAATACTTTCATAAAAGTATAAAATTTATAAATTATATACAAATATAATAACTAAAATCATTGCTCAAATTTTGCCATCATTGCGCAAGAAAAGTCAATTTGGCAAACCTTTTCGGGACGGAGGTAATACTATCGTATAATCATACGTAGATATGGGGGACTCGAGTGAAACTCTCCTCCATAACTAGGGTTTCCGCATGTAGCAGCGCAACCCATTTGGCAGTGAGCTTTCTGCAAGTAGAGTCAACGGACTCCGGATTATCGGCAGAGACAACAACCAAATTAACATACGAATTGATGTCAACATGATGCAATTTAGCGCCGCGGTCTCTCCCTAGCAGGTCTAGGGATTGGATTTGTGGCAGATTGACAAGAATCCTTGCCCAAGTTTGACGACATTGAAGCTAGAGTTTGGCGATTGATTTCTTCGTGAGAAGGGTAGCAAGGCATTGACAGCGATGAAGATGAACGCTAGCGGTGGATTTGCTACGAGCGCGGAACAAGAAGAGGTGCACGAATTTCGAGCATGCCAGATGACGATTGACAATGAGGGATAAATTAGAGTGGTACCAAGGATACGTTCTCCTCCTGAACCACCGCCATGGATTGTACGAGGTGCTAGATTCCGTGGAAGTTTTCCTATTAGTTATTTTTATTCTGTCATTTGGCTTCTTGTTATAGTCTATGTTGTTAAGTTTGTCAGTTTCCTTGGGAGTTCAGCCTTTTTTTATGTCATTGAGTATGTTTGGATCTATGGAAACAAGGAGGACCGTGTCAAGCCCGCTACATGGTTAGCAATTCGTGTTGCTCTTTCAGGGGTGACCGTCTCTAAGTCTGATCATAGATTCATAGGGTTTACAGTCGTAGTTGTTGGATTTTAGTTGATGTCAGTTTTATTTTTCCTTTGATTGATGTAATGATCTGATCATGAAACTTATGATATGAAAGAAGGTTAGTTGGCGATCAAAAATAAAATTCTTTTGTTCCCTTAATATTATCTCATTCTTTGTCTGATACGTGTTATTAACTTCGTCTCATATTAAATTTGATAAAATTTGTGTAGTCATAAATCATACTCAATTCAATATTAATCACATAAATTCTCTTTTTCTAATAACGACACCTCTTCCTCATATTTCAATATTAGTGGGACAGAGGTAGTATTCGAGGAAAGGGGAATATATATCAACCAAATTATGAAATTGATAAAAAAAGGATAATTTATCAAATTGGTAAAAAAAAACCTCCTTAGACATGTTGATTAAAAAGAATCCCATGTGACAAATTGGTCAATTTTTTGTGAGTGAGATACTCTTGGTCATCGACTTTATAATTTTTGATAGTTTATATCCTAAGTATTGTGAAATTCACATTTCCAACCATTCTACTTTGATTATGTCGTGTTTGATAACCATTTTAATTTCTTAGCAGATTGAAATAAAATGTTAGTAACTTAGCTGTTGGCAATTAGCTTTTAATACTTACAATGACCATTGACGATATAAATTTACAAATCTATATATTTAACTTTTGATTTTTTTGCTTCTATTTATAATAAGTCTTGGGAAATATTTTAAAAATTATATATACATTTATTTTAAATAACTACTACCACTATCATTTTTTACATATGTACATTAACGCGAGCACACACAAATAGTTCACACATTTTTAGTATTAATATTTTAAATATGACTATTTTATTAGTTTTCAAAAAATTATTACTCCATTTAAAAAATCTACTCCAAAATTCCACTCCATGTGAAAATTCTATGTTAAATGGATTTTTTTTTTCTATTTTATATGAAGTAGAATAAAAAAACTTATAAAATTCTCATATTTAGAATATTAATACAAAAAAAAATGAATTTATACTTGTGTCATGACGTTAATGTACAAATGTTAAAATGATAGTGATGGTAGTTATTTAAAACTAACATAAAAAAAATTTTAAAACTTTTTCCAAGACTCATTAAAAATAAAACAGTAAAGTTAAGTTTTTTACAAGAAAAATTTGAAGTTAAGCTAAATGAATACTTTTAAATTGAAATCCATAATTGTCATTTTATGTCTTAGTAGTTAGTCCCAAACAGTTAAGTTTGGGAGGTGCAATAGGTGTTTGACACCAGGACCCACTCTTGTAGAGGGCCTCCAAAAAATTACTCATAGTATGTAATATCAGTTATATGTTGATTTTGCTAGCTAGATGTTATATACGAGATATTATTCATGATTTCAAAATGTATGAACTTGTTGATTGTCTAATTTGAGTACTTTAAGCATCATAAAATCTATATTTCATTGAGCTAACTAGTTTATTTGTATTCATTTTTAAATTTTATATTTCTTCTTGTTTTAGGAGGCCTCAATTTTTCATTTGAAATCGGGGCCTCCAAATTCATTACACGACGTTGTTCAAACCGTTAATGGAAATGATTAGTTAAAAAGGCTAACAGAATATCCCAATATCAATCTGTTGATTCAATCGATTATTAGCCAGCAGACAATTGTCATTATCAAACATAGTTATTAACATTTTCAATCTTCCACTTTTCATGATAAACCAAAGTATAATGATTCAAAAATGTCAATTCCACAATATTTAAGATACGAAATATAAAAAATTTTAAAATCAAGGACAAAATTATTTCATTCACAAAAAATGACTAATTTAACATTGAAGCTTTTTTTCTATTACTAATATATCTTAGGAGGTTTTTATATCAATTTGATAAATTACCCTTTTTGATTTCATGATAATTTGGCAAGAATATCAGAAATATCAGATGGAGTTGGATCATTATAGCATCTTTAATGGGGATGTGAATTGTACCTCATTAAAAATGGACACATCATTGATATGCACAGCCTATAAAGCTCACGTGATAGACAACCAGTTACAATAAAATTTGATCTCCAACACAACTGTGGATTGGAACATATCTTTTTCCTCTTCTGTCCTACGCAATGCGGATCCATATTTTTCCATCCATACTAGTATACTACTCATCTCCTCCTAGCATTAATTTCTAGAAGGCATACAATGAGATTAGAATCAAGAGTTAATGACTCAAATAGAACTAATAGCAAAGTTAATTGCACATTTAGGACCACAAACGAAACACAACTTTCATAGGACCAATTTCATTACATTTGGACAAAAATACCCCTCTATTAATTTATTAAATTTTAAAACTGTAAAATAAAAATTTATTGAAACCCTAGCAGTAGCCATGTCGCCACCAGAGCCAAACCGCCTGCCGCCACCCCTCGCCGACGCAACCTGCAGCCACCCCTCGCCGGCCCAACCTGCCGCCACCCTCTCCGGCGACGACGCCCCCTGTCGCCGCCCTTGCCGTCTACCATCTGCCACCGCATCGTTGCCGATGCACCGTCGCCATCCATCGCCGCCCCTTGCCCCTTCCCACACCAACGTCGCCATCTATGCCATCACTATCTGACCGACGTCACCATCCACCCAAGCCACCATCCTTTGAGCACCACCACAACAATGACAACTCACGCGGAATAATCTCCCATTAACTTGGCAGATTTAGCATTGGGGATTAGATTCACTTCTGCCATGAACAAGTGTTTTAGATCTGCCAAAAAAGTTGGCAGATTCAACTTGGCATCATAACACAAAACTGCCATAAATTTGGAAAAAATAAAAAAACATGAAGTAAATAACCAAATATTCAAACAACTAAAAATTTTAATGGAACAAGCATTTTAACACAACCACAAATTAGAAAAACGAAGCTATTGACAAAAAAAACACAAAAACCAACTTATACCAAAACATTTCTTCCATAATATGATTGTAACTGTACACATTTTTGCCATAAACTTGGCCAAATCTCAAGCAATCATCCAAAAATTATGAAAATCGATTTTTTTAACTCTGAAATTAAGAATTAAAAAATCGAAATAGAAGTCTAAAAAACTGGAAAAATCAATTCAAAATTCAAAAAAATGGAGGAAAATCGAGAAGAAGAAGAAGAAGAAGATGATGATGATGATGAAGAAGATGAAGAAGAAGGATGGGGGAGAACCTTAGTGGCGGCGGCGTACGGAGAAATCAGCTGCAGCGGCGGCGTGAGAGAGAAATTGATCTTGTGTGCAGGGCGAAATTGGCGGCGGCAACGATGGCTATGGTGAAGTTGGTCGATTATATGCAGTGAAGGAAGAGGGAAAGCACTTGTGCGCAGAAAATGGGGAAGCGGTTGTGCGCAGGGGAGAGGATAGATGAGCGTAAAAGGGATAAGGGGGTAATAATGGAATAGAAAATACAGATGTTTTCAAATAGGAGTAAAACAGTTCTATTTAGGGGAAAAAATCATATATGGTCCTATTTGAGAATTTCTCTCCACTTTTAGTCCTATTTGAGGCAATTACTTTAGAATCAATAGACTGGTGCTCAAATTGCAGCAGGATTCCACACGGAGTAGGAGGTCGGCAATCCCAGGCCATCATGGTTCTTCCCTACCATTAGAAACAACTCGTAGACAGCCTGCTCTGTTGTGATTGTTGCTAGATAACCTAGTAAATTATGATATCATATATATGTAGTTTGGTGTAATTGATAATGGAATTAATAAGAAAGAGATTAAAAATTACTTTGATTGTTGCGCAACCTTGAAGAAGATTTGCAGCCTCCTAGGGTACAATGCTTCGGAAGATGCAAACAAAACTGACGAAAAAAATTTGGGGAATTTTTTTGCGTGCAACACCAAAAAAATTGACGGCAAATAAAAATTTTGCTAAGTCATGATGTCTAACTGACTTGCTGAATTTGAGAAAGGGGGACAAACGGTGTGGACAGTTGTTAATTCCACCTCAGCTCCACAGGAAATAGAGACTATTCCGTTGGAGTGTTTTTTTTACTTCTCTCAATTCCTAGTTACGTGGATGTGCATTATTAAGAATCGAGAGGCCCATTAAAGATGCTCTTACTAATAGAGTAATTAATACCCATTAATTAGGTTGCCATATTTATTATGTTTCCTATTGTATTGAGGACACTCTTTAGTATATATATGACATCTAGGGCTCCCAGTTGAGCAAGTCATTCCATTATTCTCACATGGTATCAAGACCTCTAGGTTTTAGCAAATTTTTTTTTCCGGTCCTATGGCATCCTCGGGCTCCGCCGTCGCTGAATCGCAAACAGTCACCGCAGCCGCCGTCACGGCTGTGACTGCGCCTTTGCTGAGCGCGACAGATACGCCGCACGTCTCCTCGGTCTCGCAGCCAGCGGCCTTTTCCTCCACGGATGAACCGCTTCGATCGAAGTCCTATTCGGCATATTCCTCTACCGTTCTGGCAGCGCCGTGGGTCCCCCTATTTTTACTTGGACCCCGTCAGCGCCGACCTTCAGCCCGATGATTCAGCCACAACCTTCGCAGATCCCGGATGTGCCCCATGAAGCATCCAGTAACTCCGACGGTCCTCGGTTCGCTGGGCCAACCTTGTCAGGCAGTCTAGGTTTGCACATGCCCTCGGCTGAAATTATTGGTCAACAATCCACTCCTATGCCCACGTCCTTTTTCTCGCTTTCTCAAGGCATGCCCTTTGGGGCCCCCGTTACACAAATAGTGACCTCTAAATTGATGGATGTTGAAGATTATTTGCCCTGGCGCACTCAGTTTGAATCCTTCGTGGTAGCTAACACGCTTTTGGGCTTCCTCGATGGATCTCTACCAGCCCTGCCTATGTATACCTATAATTTATATTAGGCTCAGGCACTGAATCCTAAATATTATCATTGGCTCAAATTAGATCAGGCGGTACATGCTTGGTTATTTGTCACTCTTTCTCGAAAAATCTTGATGGAAGCCCATTCATTGAAGAATTCTTTGGCTATTTGGCAACGTTTGGAGTCCCGTTTTATGGCTGCCATTCTTGCACGTTCCATGGAATTAAAACATACGCTTTTATGCACCAAGAAGAAGGAGAATCAGTCCATGGAGGAATATGTTCATGGGATTCAAACAATTGCTGAATATTTATCCGCCATTAACGCGCCGGTCTCCAATGCCGATCTTATTGAGTATACACTTTTAGGATTGGGACCAGATTATGAGTCGCTAGTGGGACCCCTTACCTTATTTCCGGAAGGACTCACTTTTGACTCCTTAGGCACAAAATTGGTCCATCAAGATGCCCGTCTCTGCTACCAACAATCCTTCGAGGGCACCATTCCTACACCGGCGTTTGCTGCCCTTAATTCGGCAGGGGGTGTTGCGGCACCTTCTCCTTCGTCTGGTAACTAGCAGCAGCAGGCAGCTCGCGGTGGCCGTGGTGGAAGGCGTGGCAGCCGCGTTCGAGGGCGCGACAAAGGAAGAAATCAGTAGCCGAACATGTATGCCCCGCCTCCCTTTTATGGCAGCCACGGCCCGCCACAGTTCCAGCAGTCACAATCCAGCAGGGGGGCCAAACAGCCGAATGAGTGGGGACCGGGTACAGTTATTTGTAATTCAGTTAAGTCATCGTTTTATACTCCGGCTCTCTCTACTTTTTGTACTAACTATGCTTCTGCAGGATCTCCATCTTTTGAGAATAGTTTTGGTTCAGTTCCTCCACCTGTTGTGTGTCAGATCTGTCATTCTCCAGGTCATTCGGTTGTTGCGTGTCCATCTCGTTTTGTTCAAGCTCAAGCTCCTGCCTTGGCTATCTCTGCCGGTAAATCCACTCCAGCTGTTTGGTATCCTAACTCGTGTGCTTCTCCTCACATGACTGTTGGTGATTTGCATTTATCTACTATGCCAATCCAGATGTTTTGCAAAATAAATCTATTTATTCTGGACCACTAAAAATTACAGTTGCGAATAGCTCTAATCTCCCTGTTATGACTGTTGGTGATTTGCATTTATCTACTATGTCTCGGCCCCTCCATTTAAAATCTGTTTATCATGTGTCTAGTCTTAAATACAATCTTCTCTCTATTCAACGATTATGTGCCGATAATAACTGTTTTGTGATTTTTGATAAAAATTCTATCTGTATTAAGGAAACACTTTCGGGGAAGGTGCTCCTCCAAGCTTCCAGTAATGGCAGTGTTTATCCTATTTCCTTCACACATCCCTCACCAGTTGCTCTCATCTCTCATGTTGCTCTCGGCCCGGTCTGGCATCGTCGTTTGGGACATTGTGGAAGAAGTAGTATTTTAGATAAATTAAAAAAATCTGGCACTATTTCTAGTACTTCTAGTTTTTCCCTTGATTGTATTTCTTGTCGATTAGGAAAGTCACAATGATTACCTTTTCAAGAAGTGTGGCATAAATCTACTGCTCCTTTATATTTAATTTATTCGGATATTTGGCAATCTCCTGTTCTTTCAACAAGTGGCTTTAAATATGATGTCTTATTTATTGATGATTTTTCTCAATTTACTTGGCTCTATCCCATGCGCCATAAAAGTGAAGTTATAACACATTTTCAGCACTTTAAATTGATGGTGGAAAACCTGCTTGACTCCAAAATTAAAATTTTTCAAAGTGATGGAGGGGGTGAATTTGATAATCATGGAATGCGTGATATTTTTGCCAAAAATGGCATTTTATTTCGTATATCATGCCCCGGATACCCCTGAGCAGAATGGTGTCGCTAAGCAAACACAGACATCTCCTTGAATTAACTCGCACTATGCTTTTTGTGTTGAAAATAAGTGAAGGAAGATTTGGGAAATTGGGAGGCTAAATTAGAAATATTATGGAAGAGATATTTGAACAAATGGGAAGAACTCTTTTTATTAGAACAACTCAATTTGCTTGATTTGCTTGATACAAAGTGGAGGTAGGAGACCTCTATTTATACTAGCACAAAGATATCTAGAATCTTCTACAATTAATACATTATACACAATTCTACTCAATTAATTATAGGAAAATTCTAGACCACATCTTCTAGAGAAACTCTAGAATTTATGCCTTCTACATTTTTCTATCACTTGGGCCTTCCCAACAACAACTAAAACTAAATATTAATTAGGCCCAAAAACAAGTTTAATTTTCAACATTTTGAAGCAAACATGCCAGCTAAATTTTGGGTAGATGATGTGTTTACCGTCACATTTATTATTAACCGGTTTTCTACTCCAAATTTAAATGGCATTTCTCCTTTTGAAAAACTATTCCATCATACTCCCGACTTCTCTTTCATGCGTGTATTTGGATGTGCTTTTTTCCTAATTTTAATATCACTTCTGCCAACAAGCTTTCTCCAAGATCTATTTTATGTATCTTTTTCGGATATGCCCCTGAATATAAAGTTTATTGTTGTCTCGGTCCTCTTACAGTCTTACTTACAAGATTTACATCAACCGGAATGTGCGATTTTTTGAAAATTATTTTCCATATTCTACATTAACTTCCACATCTCCCAAGGATCGACTTGTCCAGCATTAATACCGTAACACTGCATGAGCACCATGACCAAATCCCACCGGCAGCCGACCCCTTTGCTCGACACCGCCATGCTGCGGCAATCCACGGAATGCTCTCAGCTTACTCCCCGTCAGCCCATTGCTTTCGCCGTCCCCTCAGCGACCAATCAGACCACCGGCTCCGTCACCCCTGCAGCAGCAGACAGCCCAAACCTGCCCAGTACACCTATCTCCTCACCATCATCATCACACTCCAACCATTTGACCAGCTCACCTGCTGTTAGCCCAACCCCACCTGCACCTTCTCCTCAAAATTGCCATCCCATGCAAACTCGTGCTAAATCTGAAACCCGTACAGGTAGCTCAGTTGGTCGAGTGATGGGAAAATTGGACCAAGTGACCATGGTTCGAAACCCACACCGGCCGTGTGGAGGTTACATAACCTGAAATAAGGCTGGACCTCTGGTGCACACGTGTATATGACCTACCACCGCTTTGTTGACTGAGTCATCGTGATTAACCTCCCCACCATTCTGTCGGATGAGGTGGGGAGCCTTGGGGTTGGGTATTCAACCTTTTGGACCAAGTGCTAAATCTGAAATTCTCACACTTACAAGGGTGGAGCCGTGAAGAATCTGGAGTTGTATAACTACTCTCGTTAATGGTAGGGCCGAAATAGTACTCTATGGTCCAATAGTTGTTTCACTCTTCTTTTCTTCAAGTCTTGTCGTGACACCTCATCATCCAACTGTAACCGTAACCGACCTTCCTAAATTAAACGAAAGGACAACCAAACAGCACATAAAAAAGGACAATACAAAAATAAATAAAGCACCAAGCTGTCGCCACTATGATTGTCTTATATATCATGTTAATTCAGTCAGACAATACTTTTTAACTGAATTTGTTGAAGTTAATTTTTGGCTGAATTAACTAAAGTCATTTTCTGACTGAATTTACTACTCCCTCCGGCCCTAAATAAACTTCACACATTCCATTTTGGATAGGTCCAAAATAAACTTCACACTTCTTCCCCCTTCCTTATTTGGCAAATTATCTACTTCAAAACAGTGCAAAACAGTGCAAAACAGTGCAAAACAGTGCCAAACAATGTCAAACAGTATCAAACAGTGTCAC